AATTACGTTGTCTTAACTCGTTGTTAGATTAAGATGGTGTTTCTTCTCCTCCGTTAATTTCTCCATCATCATCATCTCTTTATCAAACTAAATCGTTGACGAATATCGCCATAGTTAACTATGTCTAAAAGGTAACTATGTTTCTCATAATAGTTTACTATATACTAGGTGATTCTCCCGCGTATACGCATGTAAATTATTTATGTAGTTTTGTTTTTAATTTTAGTTTTAAAAATATGAAATATATAGTTGTTATTGATTCTTTTGTTGTTCATTTTTTTGGTCAATAATATCGTTTTTATTAATAATATGAATTTCAGAAATCTAGTTTTACCATTTAATTATTTTATATGTGTAAATGGGTCAAATCAAAATATATAATAATTTAATACATTAGAGTTAAAAATAAACTATGTTAAATTTGGCTTGTCCAAATATCTTAAGTAGAATTTAGAATACAAATAAATTATTTAATATTTTAAAACATTAAAATATTTAATCATAAATTTTATAAATGAAACACAAACTAAAAAAATAAAAATTGTTGCTTTTGAATTAAAAAAAAATGTATTTACTACTTTCAAATTGTCTTGCGTTAAAAAAAAATATTTCAAAAGAATAATTATATTTGTTCTTCTTGAAATTTTTTTTCTCCACAAACATATCAAAATCTCTTTTAAAAATTTGGTAAGTCTTTATTAATATTTTCAAAAAGAATATATATTCTATAAAAATGCTCTATAATTTTATTATTACAATAATCGATTTCTAAACTATTTATAAATGAGAAACCAAATTTTTATATAATTTTAGAATAAAAATAAAAATCTGATAATATATTAATTAAAAAGTTTTTTTGATTTATTTATTGTAACAATTATAAATTTAGTTGTAGAAGATTTTATTATTGATTCAAAATTGTCATGTCACAATTTTGATATGCCATGTCACAATTTTGACATGCCATGTCACAATTGTTTTGATGAGAGAGTGATTGTGGAGATGACACCTAACCATCTTCTCACAAATCACTCTTCAATTAATATATAAGGGATATTATTTTTTATTATAGTAGGTAACTATATTTTTAATAATAGTGAACTATGTATTTGATAATACTCAACTATGTACGTTTTGAACTAGTTAACAATATTTGTTTAAATAATTAACTATTACAATAATATTTCATGTAAGCAACTATGTCCTAAAATTAGTAGAGGTTATAACTATACTCTGAAAATAGATGTTTTTAAATATGTAACTATGTTTTTAGATTGGTAACTATTTTTAAAAGTACTTAACTATGTTTTATATAGTTACAAATAATATTGCGTAGTTAATTATGTTCTGATATATTTCGGAAATAGTTTACTATGTTATTACATAGTTAATTGTTATAGTTTTTTTTTGTCATCTTCTGATCCAATTCTCTCTTTTTTTTTTAAGAACAATTGCAATCTACTTGCAATCGCATGAACAATTTTTTCCATAAATGAAGTAAAGATAATATTTTTAGGGATTTTTTATATATATATATTTACCTTAATTATATTTGTAATGGTGATTTCGTCATATTTTTAATTTTCTGTCCAAGTTACCTAAATATAATTTTAGATATGTTAGTTTCCTAATTATGGGTTCCAAAAATAATATTCAGCTAATTATTTATATCAAAATTTATCATTTTTAGAGAAATTTTTAAATTGCCACTTTTCAACACATTTTCAAAATCTTTGTAAAAATACCATTTTTTCAAAAAAAAATTCATTATATCATTTATATTTGGGTTAACTATGTTGTATTATGGTTTAATTTTGACGGTTTAAAGAGTTTTAGAGGTCAAAATATTTTTTAAGGTTTATAATTTTAAGATTTAAGCTTTAAAAATCTATAATTAGTGGTATTTTTGCAAATGTAGACACCAAAAGTGGCATTTTTGCAATTGCCTC